TTTGTTTGTTTGTTTGTTTGTTTGTGTGTGTGTGTGTGTGTGTGTTTTCTCACAGTGTGCGTCGAGAAAGGTGAGAATTTCTCCCTGAGCCAGGCTGGCACCCAGCAGCCTGGCTGTGATGAGGCCCTTCCTTTCCAGCTGCCTCACTACTCGGACGATCTTCAGCTGACGCACATAGTCCTCCAGTTGGATCTTCAGGTGCTCTGTGGAGATGCAACTAAATTGTCATGTCTGTCTCAACTTGTCTTCGTTTAAAACAAAAGCTTTCCAGCTGAAAATGTTATCTTAGTTGAGTTCCAGTGTTGCTGTACTCAGGGTAGACTCTGGTTACGGATGGAAAAGAACACACTTTCTACCTCACCGAACAGTGAGGCGCGCTTTGGTCACAGATTCGACGGACATATATATATCTGAGAGGCATTACCAGAACAAAAGGCAATGAAGTGGAAACATTGCTGGTAATACTGGGTCACACTTCCCTTCGAAGAGTAATTACAACCACAATGCACGCCACGTGCCTCATAAGGTTTCAGTCTGAGTGAGCCAACCAACCATGTGTCATAACGTTATAGCAACAGAAAGGGGAAGTTTGGGTACAGTAGGAAATGTCTAAATACAGCTGAAGGTAACAGTGCCATAAAACAGAGCATAAACAAGGAGGAGGGATTTAAAAAAAAAAAAAAACATTTAGCCTCACCATCCCATCTTTCATTCTGAACGTAGAGCACTGCAGTGGCAAAAGTTGGTGTGCAGGAGCCTTTTGGTACGGTGGGGTCATCAAGGTAACCCAGCTTGGAGTGGCCCTCCCCTTCAGGGTCCCCCACATACTGGCCGAGCACCACATCTGGCACTGCAACGGGAGCTATACACTTCNTAAAAAAAAAAAAAAACATTTAGCCTCACCATCCCATCTTTCATTCTGAACGTAGAGCACTGCAGTGGCAAAAGTTGGTGTGCAGGAGCCTTTTGGTACGGTGGGGTCATCAAGGTAACCCAGCTTGGAGTGGCCCTCCCCTTCAGGGTCCCCCACATACTGGCCGAGCACCACATCTGGCACTGCAACGGGAGCTATACACTTCAATACCTTCACCTGCAGCATTATCAAAAAACACAGGACAAAAAGGTTGTAATGATGTGGATGATCTTGCTATTGAAGACAAAAAAATCCTGGTATCCAACCATCTGTATTACCTTTTCATCCCTCACGTCATCGGGGCTGGTGGAAGGAGGTTTCTCCATTGCAACCAAACAGAGCATCTGGAGGAGATGGTTCTGCATGACATCTCTATTAGAGAGACAGGGCTGGAATCAGGCTCTGGTGTGACAATGACACTGTATCCAGTGTTTTCACCTTGAACTTTATGTAACGTCTCTCACCGAATGATACCAAAGTCATCAAAGTATCCTCCGCGGCCCTGAGTGCCAAAAGGTTCCTTAAAGGTCAGAACCACACAGGACACGCTGTTCCTGTTCCATATTGGCCCAAAGATGCGATTTCCAAACCTGGAGGTGAGAGCATAAAACCTCATATATGACAATGTTTAGGTTTATACCGGTGGTAAAGTGCTTGGAAATGTGTGTATGGAGCGTGTTACCTGAGCACCATGAGGTTCTGGACCATCTCTTTGCCCAGGTAGTGATCAATGCGGTAGATCTGGTCCTCTGTGAACAGGGAGGACAGGTGGGCTGACAGCTCCTGTGAGCTCTGGAGGTCACGACCAAACGGCTTCTCAACAATAACCCTGTTCCAACCTCTGTTTTACAAACAGCTGATCAGCACCACGCAATCAAACAACATGTCAACCGTTGTTTTTACGGACCGGAGGATACTTACTTGTGGCTCATGCCGTGGGCCCTGATGTTTGTGCTGACATGGTGGTAGACGGTAGGTGGCAGAGCCAGGTAGAAGAGTCGGTTGGCATCACCCCCCCCAGGCAGAGATGACAGATGGGTGTTGAGTTGGTCGAAGGAGCCGCCGTCGTCATACCTGCCGCTCAGGTAGGAGTTCTTACTGAAGAAGGCTGAGAGACACTCACTCTCTTCATCAGTGACCTGAAGAAATGTTGTGCGATGATTCACGGAAACACTCCCCAAACAATTAATAATCTCGTCTCAGATAGCATACAGGGACGTACTACCTTCATGTGAGGCAGACATGCTGTCTTGATGTCCTCCACGGTTAAGTTAGACCGGGCAAAACCCACAAAGTAGGTGTCATCTGGGAGGAGGCCATCTCTGAATAACCACCTAAAGCAGGACCAGAGTCAAAAGCAGTGATACAGAACACCAGCCAAGGGTCAAACTCCTCATAACACAGGGTAGTCAAACAACTTCAAAGCAACTCTCGCCTTCGACCTGTGTATGAGAAGCAATTCTCTACTCACCACAAAGTTGGGTAGATTTTCTTTTTAGCGAGATCTCCCTGTGCAAAAAACGCAAACGAAAAGGAGATCTGATCATGAACCCTCTACTGATAATCACAGTGGTTGTGAAGAATCAATCAAGAGTCCAAAGTGTAGGCAAACTTTAAAAAATAAGTGGACACAGTGATGTGGAGCGAGTAGATCTGTTGAGTAATGAGAGAAAACGCCAACCAGAGAGACTGTGAAGGAACTTTGAACACACCCTCTTTGCAGAGCTGTGTCTGAGACTTCAGGTAACATTTAAAGAGATTACTGGTACGGGCAAAATAGAGAAAACAAAGCCAAGAACAGTCAAACAAAAATGCTTTTGCTCCAAAATCAACCCCTTCTTTCAATGCTTCACAAAGGAAAAAGTAGATGCAGCACATTTCAGCCAACATATGCTCATTCGCTGGCTTACACACGCTGATTAGCAAACACATACTCCCCAGTGAACTGTTCTCCTGTGAGGCTTTGTGTCACCTCTGTTGGGCCTGCCACTTCAAACATTCCTCTAAAGTTGTTTTTCAGTTTGAAATTGAATGCAAATAGAAACATAGTTGACTGAACTGACCCCAGCCTCAGAATAGACTGTAGACTTTTAACCTCGGCCCTTTTTGTAACATCTGAAACAGACTGAAAATTTCCGCAGATCTTTGTTAAACTGTGTTAAACGGAAACTTTCAAATTTTAGAATAGAAGAGCAGTGGTCATTCTTGTCATGATGTAAGATGTTCAAAGGTTGTACTCACAGAGGCTCCCAGGATAATAAATACGTGTGTGTTGGAACAAGTGGACTGCTCCTCTCCGTAGAGCTCCTTCCTGAGCTGTCCAAACACCTCAGAGCGAGTCAAAGGCTCAGTGCTCATCTTCTGCCCCATCTGCTCACTCCCTACTGAGGCCACTCTCATTCCCCTGTGGCTGCATGACCCACACAGTATGGTGAAATTTCAGTTGTCATCCTTGCTTTGCAGAAACACTCCATGAGTTAATGCTGCCACCTATTGTTGCAAAGAAAAAATGCCATCATGTCACCGCTTCCTCGAGCTTTGTGATATAAATACCCTCTTCTCTCCAGCAACTATTGTCCAGCAGGTTGGTAGTACTCCTGCACAAATTCCATCAGAACAGGTTTGGCAACCTGGAAGAAATCCTGCTTATTCACTTTAACTCACAATTCAGGTCTATTGAGACAAGGCTGAAAGAACATGCTAGGAATGTTCCTTACTCCTAAACCACACCTTGGATAAATGTTGCGCAAACATTAACTGTAACCGAGAGAGTCATACGGCTTTGTTGCAGACACAATTCTTATCAGTACATAACCTCTGGCATAACAATTTTCACAGTGTTGTAAAATGATTAATTAATGTTTCCACGCAGGCAACTTCATGCCACTCTGGCTCTAAATCCAAATGATTTAATATGTGTAACATCAGTAACCACAGCAAGGAGTCTGAGTGAATCATTCTTTCAGGAAAGACTTGGTAAATCATTACTGAAAATCACTCGACTAAAACATAGAAGAAAATTCTAGTTCTGATATAACATTAGTACTATACATGTACAGTAGTAAATAACCAGGAGAGATCAAAGTTGCTGGTCATAACTCAGATATATTTCACAGTTTTAATGCTTTTCTGGATACTAAAAAAATACTTTTTCTACAATTAAAATCATTCATGTGACACAAAAAAGTAGGACTTTTATTTAAAAAGACAGACATTTCTTACACTTTAGCAAGACTTGTGCACACTGTCATATTTTACCATTTGTTGTCTCTATTTAGTGATTTTCCAAGTGGAGTGTAAATTCACTGAAAGATCATTGCAGTTCACAGCCACAGTCAGTCATGAACAAGCTGCAACTCCTTCATGTCCAGAGTCTGTCTGAGTATCCCCAACCACCTTCAAATGTCTTTCCTGAGTTTCCATCATAAATAAATTTAAAACAAGGTCAACCCGAGCATCTTCAGCTGATGTGAATGTCTTTACTTTGTCCTCCATCTTTATCTCTCCACTCAGTATGTCCAAATGCCCCAAGCTCCACAGCATGAAGTCCAACGGGATCCATGTAGAGTTGGCTACAAGGTGTCCCCAAGAGGTTACCTGATGGGCATACTGGGAGGTCAGCTGAAGGTCCAGTGCTGGTAGATGTCAGCAGAGTTACAGTGGTTCATCTTAATCTGGCCTTCTTTCAGCTGTAAACATTTCCCACTGCTGGGATTCTTCAGAAGATTTCCCTGCAAAGTATCATCAGAGACAAAGAGAATCATTGCAGAAGCCCAAATAATATATACACATACTGTAACACTTATTATTCAGCATACAGTGGTTAAAGGAATAGTTTGACACTGGAAAATACCATTACTAGCATTCCTCACCTCAGTAAAGACCCACTCCTGTTGTGGTGCCAGACTGGTGCCCTTCCCCTTCAGCTGGCAGAGCTCGATCTTCACCGGCTCTTGCTGGGAAGAGGCATGAAGACACAGCTGCTTTCCAATGTTATGACGCAGCTCCTTATGAGTTGTGTATTCAAAGTACTGGAGGAGACATTCATCCAATCAGAGACTCAAACTTCACCAGAGAGCTCTTAATTTCACAAGTGTAAGTCACTGTACCTGGTTGCCTCCCATGTTGTGACACTGGTACATGATCACAGGTTTACCTCCATGGTTGCTCTCTCCAACATCCAGACAGGTTTGAGATCCTGAGTTTCTGATCTGGTGCGAACACACACATACACACAATAATAGTAAGCTGCAGTTAATCAACAAGTGAGGTGTGTTATGTCATTGACATCTACATGCAGATAAAGGGAGACATGACTTACAGCTCCAAATTTATCTGGCATTAAGTCTGGAACAAAGGCCTCTGGGTAAACTGTGTTTAGGTACCAGGTGAAGTTCTTGCACTGCAGCCTATCTCTTAGTTTCAAACGATCAGAGATGTCCCCATACTTATGCTGTAACAGTGAAGGAAGTTGGAGAATAAATTCTAGTCAAAAATGTGGGAGAAGAATGGTGATAAATGACATTGTATCCATGTGAATTTAACATTTGAACTGTCAGAAGTTCACACTGACCTCACTGGCCATAACTGCAGCATTCTTGTTGCGGCGATAGTAGATCTTCTTGTAGTCATCCATCCAGACCTCAGCCAGGCGCACCTGGTTGCGAGTGATGACCTCTGTGCCTTTGGGGAAGGTATGGGGACTCTTGGTGCGGAAGACATGGCCCACCACAGAACAAGGGATGATTTCTAGCTGCCCTCCACACTGCCACACCTGTCAATCACATTTGACACAGGCAGCAATTCAGACTCTAACTTGATGATAAGCGGGATAGTAGTTCAGTAATATGTGGAACTGTGGGAGTATAGATAATGACTGACCCTGAATGACATTTCCACATTTTCACCGCCCCAGATCTCCATCTTGTCATCATACGTTCCGATGTGTTCAAAGTACTTCTTTGAGATTGAGAACAGGCCTCCGGCAAAAGTGGGTGTTCTGAAATTTTCACAGGCAGGTACAAAAGCTTTAGGCACTTAAATGATTCAGGGCGCTCTAAGTGAAACCAACGCAGCACTTCTTACTTTACAGGGTAGGTTTCATCCTTGCGCAGCTTCTTTGCATCCTCGGGGATCGCCTCCCAACCGAAAGTCAAGCTCCAGTCAAAGTTGCCTCTGTTGAAAGCGCGGTTGGTGGACACAGGCTTGTTGAACTGAAAAGTGTTGAGGTCAATGGTGCTGATCTCTGGACTAACCACAGCAGTGGGTTCTTCAACAATGCGTGCCAACAGGGGCTCTAGCCAACCATGGAAACACTCACCTGTAAAGGGGAAGAAGGAGAGAGATCACTTCATATTTCCTTCTTAACCTCCGTCACATAAAAATTAAGTTACTGCCAACAATCAGAATCAGGTGTAAAGATTGAAGAATTGAGTATTTAAACCTGCAGGTAAAGAAAAACTGGGCATATAAAAGTAAATTAATATAAATATCAAACAGAATTTTGCTTCCACAAATAAAATCGATTATGTGCCTCAAATCAGGCTTTCCCTAAACACAGGCACATTTTCTGGCCTAACACAGACATGGCATGCTACAATTAACCTTCTCTAACATGTTGTGGCTGTAAAACATATTTAGATTTTATGGTTTATTCATCTTCAGCAAATGTTACTGATAGGTTTATTAAGTACTGTGTGAAAGTGAAGAGAGTTTTAAATTGTCCCAAAACATGAATGGATCTTAATAGTGTATTAGATTACATTTTTGGATGAGATGGGAGACAACATATTCACCTCTAACTCTAACACACAGCTGCTTGGGTGTTCTTTGTTTGTTTGTTTGTTTGTTTGTTGTGTGTGTGTGTGTGTGTGTGTGTGTGTTTTCTCACAGTGTGCGTCGAGAAAGGTGAGAATTTCTCCCTGAGCCAGGCTGGCACCCAGCAGCCTGGCTGTGATGAGGCCCTTCCTTTCCAGCTGCCTCACTACTCGGACGATCTTCAGCTGACGCACATAGTCCTCCAGTTGGATCTTCAGGTGCTCTGTGGAGATGCAACTAAATTATCATGTCTGTCTCAACTTGTCTTCGTTTAAAACAAAAGCTTTCCAGCTGAAAATGTTATCTTAGTTGAGTTCCAGTGTTGCTGTACTCAGGGTAGACTCTGGTTACGGATGGAAAAGAACACACTTTCTACCTCACCGAACAGTGAGGCGCGCTTTGGTCACAGATTCGACGGACATATATATATCTGAGAGGCATTACCAGAACAAAAGGCAATGAAGTGGAAACATTGCTGGTAATACTGGGTCACACTTCCCTTCGAAGAGTAATTACAACCACAATGCACGCCACGTGCCTCATAAGGTTTCAGTCTGAGTGAGCCAACCAACCATGTGTCATAACGTTATAGCAACAGAAAGGGGAAGTTTGGGTACAGTAGGAAATGTCTAAATACAGCTGAAGGTAACAGCACGTTGGCTTAGGAAAGGATATAACTGACAAATTCAGCCAACAGGCCATGACAGGCTGTTGATACGTGTAGCAGTGTGAATCACTTATTCTTATCAGTCAAAGTCATTTTTATACCTGCCTTTCTCTGCAGGGCTCACCAGGCTAGTGTCAGCTTGTAAATGGAAAACTGATAAATTAAGACATGTGATGACATGTTTTTCTATTAATCAATGTAAGTACATCAACTGCGATTGAACTTTTTTTTTCCACTTTTGGTACCAGGAATGACATGATGTGACACCTAAAATATTAGCTAGTATGGCTTGAAACCCTCCAGTAACCCTGGCTTGCATTTTAAATAACAGTGGGCTCTAAAGGCTGAAAAGAAGGCATCTCTTATCCATCTATGGGTAAAATATTTTAGCAATTCACTGTTTTGTAACAATCATTTATAGACTATATACACAAGATTTCCCAGAGTGAACTGTTTTCTTCTGGCAAAGATGTAAAGTCGGAACACTTAACACATTGGACTGTAAAATACAGAGTGTCATTCTTGTGTATGACACTGTTGTCTAACAGAAGTTTCCTCTGCTATTTAAACTCCACCTTACTGCAACTGTGTGTGCAAGCTACCAAAAATCCCAAGCTAACAGCTTTCTATGCTATCTTATCAAAGCTCACGCCTAACTGTGACTGGAATGCTGCCCTAAAAACTCTGAAGGTCATTTTAATTAATATATTACTTATAACTTATTTTTTCTCAGTCTGTGCTCTGCAGCTGTCCTCTGCCTGTATCACATTTTATCACACTGGAGATTTTCTTTCATATTGTTTAAAAATGTCTCCTCACCGTCTAACTTTACTATGAAACACACCCCTTTTACAGTGAGTGCAGGTGTCAGTACTATAGGAAGAATGAGTTTTCTAATCGGCATTAAATACATTTTCAATATTAATGGCAAGATAAAGTTACAAGTTTATGTCAAATGGAGTATTATGAATGAATTGTCTGTTCCTTTCTGCTATTCTCTGCAGGTTTTAATTTCCTGGAATGTAGCACTGGTAGTTTTCTACCTACTCTGCTTGTCTGTGAAACTTTACTGAAACTTTAACTTCACCGCACTCAACAGCTCTCCTGTTAGCAGAACCACTCAGCCTACAAAATTTTATCTCATTTATGTGCCTACATAAGAGCAGAAATAAGAAAGAATATAGCGTTAAAACTGAAGTCCAGTCCCCTCTCACTGTCACCCAGCTCCTAAACAAGCTCTTTTATGGTCTGCTGTCAGTGAATCTTCGAGTATGTTTTAGTGCATACCTGCAGTGCTGGCGTCATCTACCAAGATGATCTCTTTGAGCAGGACAGCAGGAGATGAGTGGAGAACACTATAGACCGTCCTGAGGAGGGTGGACCAAGCCTCATTGTGGAAGACTATAATAACACTGGTGGTGGGCAGAGGTGGACAGCGACGAAATTTCCTCTCCACACACCTAAGCAAGTTGAGCCACATGGAAGTACAAAGAGAGATAGGGAGAGAAGAAGAAACAGCATGAGAGTACAGAGTGTGCACAAGTGAGTGGCATATCTGATGAAAAGTAAGTCACAGAAGGTCTTGCAAAGCCTCGTATAATAGACCATTGTTTGCAGATATTCAAGGTCTGCTCACTAACACTTTAAATAGCTCAATGTGCAAACAGTCAGCTCATTTAAAAACCACTTGAAATAGAAAAATAAATAGTTCAAGGCGTATCAAGCCCGTGACAAGTTAACAACAAACATTTACAGTGAGTGAAAGTGTTCACAAGAGCACAGATAATGTCGCAGCCTCAATTATCCAGGATCCTGTCAGGTGCATGATGCTATACTACACTCAGTGTTTGTGGCTACATTCAGATTAGAATATGTGATATTCCAGTATAATGGTGAGCCCAATATGAAAATACATGTAAATAATTTACCACCCTGAGCATGACCCTGAAATGCAGGAAATTATCTGCTGTGCTGTGCACGTCAGCAAACGCGTTGGTAAAACAGTGATTAGTCCAAACTATCTCAGATAATTCTGAACATAAGAGAACATGCTCTTACTCTGGAGGCCTTGTGTCATCCCCAAGACTACGGCTGAGTGAGATACGGTCACTGGCAAACTGGTTGAAACAGTGACGTGTCATGCCCTCCTCCTTCTCCTTCTCCTCCTCAGGGGTCATATGGTTTTTTTTAAATGCCATCCCATCAGCCCCGGGGCTTCTGGGGTTCTGCGTTGGTCTCTCCAGGTGAGGCTTGAGTTCAGCCTGTGTATAGAAGCCAGTTGGGCAGTTGACGTCCTGGGTGGGCTGCTCCTGTACTGGTGGTGGCTGCGGAGCTCCGATCTGGAAGCCAATGTTGTTGACAGCCTTTCGGACCATGACTATCACCTTGTCCTTCTTGTCCACCAGCTCCTGAAACCAGGGATCCCCAGCAGGTGAAGAGCCAACATCCCTCTGGAGAACCACTAGGACCACCATGAACAGCGTCCCTCCAAGGAGCGCCAGTTTAAGAGGAGACATACGCCGGCGTAGAAACAGCCGCATGTTTCAGAAAGGGTGTTGCTCCCAAGGCTGTTGAAGACAGAAAAAAAAAGAATTCCCCAGAAACTGGCTCTTAAATGTTTGTGAACGTTAACTGAGGGTTTCAACCAATCACTGTAAAAATCAAAACCCCAACCTTTAATCGCTATACATTCAGTGAGTTACTCCTGAGGTAAAAAAGACAACAAGCAAGAAAAAAATATCTCAGACCGGTTTGTGCGCCTGTGCAACTGTCATAGCAGCAGGTAATCTAGCCAACCTGGCTCCTCCCCTCCCTGTCTCTTTAGGAAACAGTCCCACAGGACAGGTGGAGAGAACAGAGAGGAGAGTGTGAACAAACACACCACACCTCTAAGTATACACCTGAATTCACCTTTTCTGGCCACAGTCCTCCAGGACACACGTGGCTACAGATGGGCCGTAACACACTGCTGGCTCAACCTGCAACTCCCATGCCAGTTAATAAGTGACACAAAACGCCCTGCTTGGACACCTGCTCCAAAGACACCTCACCAGTAATGATCAGCCGTCATCCACGACAGGAAGTGGTAGGAGCCTGCTACATATAGCATGACAGGCCATTATAGGTTCACCCTGCCTTGGCACAATAACAAGCTGTTTCCTGCTACCTGAAACAAAATATCATTGCAATGTGGGACATCTGCGTGATCTTAGGTGATCACTGTTCAGTTAGACACACTCTTACTTGGTCATAATTAATTTACACCATTCTCAGGCCAGCCTCCCTCATGAGTGATTCAACAGGACACTGTTTTGGTGTTCCAGAAAAGGGAAACCACCAGAGCACACTCTACAGTTGTCTCTGGTGGGCAACCAGTTAGTCCAGTTTGTTGTCATCACAGTTCGTACGGAGGGGGGGTGGGGGGGTGGGGGGGCAAAAATATTCGATCAAACACAACTTCGAAAATTAGGTCAATAGTATGTGGACATGATGTAAATCCGGATTGTCCCATCAAGCCAACATTTAATATTTTCAGGATGAGAATATTTGTCAAGATTATCATCTTACAAATTGCTAAATACCAGCACTTCTCTCTACAGCTTGAAAGAACATGAAGCAAGAGTTGAAAAACTGCGGTTAAAAACATACTGACACTGACAAATGAAAGAGGAAGAGTTGGTTGCAAATATCCTGCTCTCATTCAGTCGACGTACAGCCATTCAAAACTCCAAACATCATACGCACAAGCCACGTCTTATTTAAAAAAAAAAAATCACATATTAGACAGCTAATTAACAGTCAGTCTCACAAGTGACGCCAAGACGCGATAGAAAGATGGATATTAATGGGTTTCAACCTCTTCGAAATGATGCCACTTACCTAGAACTGTCGAGCACTTGTCGGCTACACCTGTTCCGGTTGACTTGATATGTCTTTAAATTTGTGGAAAGGTGCCAAACGAGCAAGCTGCAGGTTAGTCAGTTCCGTGAAGTTGTCAAACTGTTGTTTAGTGCGAACCCGGACACACCAGCTCAGCGGCCTCTCGACTTTTCCTTTGAAGTGAACAGGTGCCATTTGTTGAAATGATTAGTTAGAGTCCCCTACTGGCGGCGCACGCGACTTAAACTGAGTTATTCCCGTGCAGCACATTGAAGACGACTTTCAGTAAAAACCGAGCACGAGTTCCTGTGTTGAAATATCATACAGTGCGGAAAATGACAATACGTCACAGATACACACATGACATATATACATAAACATACAAGACGTGTATGTAGTTTAGGCTAACAAAATAAAAACAAATTGTATACATTTTTATACATTTTAAATGTATTGGACTTTATACCTGGCTAACTTGATATTTTTAGGTTGTAGCAATAAAAGAATAGCTGGGATATTATGTGTTTGTTTCATCATTTCTCATTTTATAACAATTTTACAGTAAAAGCAGAAGTTGACTGCTTCCAGCAATAGTGATAACCCAGAATTTGGGTTGTTTTTCGAGCACTGGAATACATACATCATACGTACCACACACACACACACACACACACACACACACAACACACCCAAACAACACACACACACACACACACACTGTATGTATATATATATATATATATATATATATATATATGTTTGTCTGTGTGTCCGTGTGTGTATGGCCTAAAAATCACAGTGTAAAACACTGGTATACTAATGCATATTACAGACACATTACAGGTTCCTGTATCATGAGCCTATTATAGTAACATTAGTGCTTTTTCATCAGGGATTAGGAGGAATTTATGTCCTTTAATTAATGTTCAGCATAGAGTGCTGTAAGTGAACATTGCCATTACCTCAACAGAAATCCATTATTCATGTGCAAGCAATTAAATACTCTCTCCTGTATCACCCTCTTGAAACTGTAGACTGACTTATTCAGAAGAGGAGAAGGAGGCGTCTCTCGGGTTACTGTCACAGGGAGAAATCTTGATTGCAGGCTGCTGATTGACTTGAGATCTAAATTAAAGCCAAACTAAAACAACACCACTAAGCAGGCTAAAGCTGTGTTGTGAAGTAAACTCTGTGAAAGAGAGAAGAGAGAATGAACTTGCTCTTGAATGTCACTCAAGTCACAGTCACAATGTTCTGGTGTAAATATTCAGTGGGATTTTCTGAAAAATCAATATTCCTATATATATTTCAATAGGTACAGTAGATTGTGCCCCAGTTCTCTGTTTTTAATATGAACTTTACTGTGATCTCCACTGTAGAGATCTAAGAGAATCCACTGAAAACAACAAACAAAACAAACACAATCAATGCAAAAACAGCCATTTATTAACTTCTTACCCAAGGGGAAATGAATGAAATCAGTCATTGCACTATTTCTTAAACTCTGCCAGGAAAAAACAACATTGTCTTAATGATCTTTCATTTTTAAGGACAGAGAGAGACAAGCAGTAGTGAAAATCTTTTTCATAGCCCATAAAGGCAACATTTTTAGGCTCAGAAACAAAAGTGAGCATATCAACACCGGAAGTAAAGCTTGTCTAAATGTAAAATACTCTTTAACTTTACAGCAAACATGAAGTCTAATCGATTTAGCCTCTAATACAATGATTCAACTCCTTCCTCAATACCAAAGGCAATGTAAAGAGTGGTTTTCTTCAGTAGTAGTTTCATTGTGGGCAGAAATATTTATATTTCATTACATTCATATGATTATTGTTTTGACCAAATAATTTTGTGGGTTACAAGACTCCCTGTGCCAAATACAACCAGCTAGTGTCAAATACTGTAGTGTAAAGTTGTGAATATTGGTCCATGGAGGAGGTGGACCTTTGAACTGCATAATCTCAAGGCAATACTTGTGAACAGATGGAGAATTGCTGCATACAGTTGATCCTGAAGTTGTCAGGAAACCGGTTCACGTTCAAATGTTCTGACACAATCCAAAATATATACACTCCGTAAGCTTTTGCTTATTTGGGGTGGAATGAAATCAGTCAAGAATCACAGTCCAGTAAAAGACGTAGACATAATTCTCTTCAAATGATAATTTTGACAAAAGAAATCAGGAATGGACACACAACTCCGAAATAATATAAAACATGCCTTGCAGCAACCAGTTTGGCAAGAAAGCATTGTCATACAGTATCATAAAAACCTCACAGTGAAAAGTTACAGTATGCCCCTTTATAGATAAAGATCAGCATTCAGTTATGTGTGTTTGCACACACACACCCACACACACACACACACACAAACATACCCACCCATCCACGCATACATACTGTACACACACACACTTATATAAAATGTTTCATAACAGTTTAACAATCTCTCTTCAGTACCGTGATACTAATGCAACTGTTCGTCCTTTGTTTCATAGTTGTTGTTTTTGGCTTGAACCAAAAATACATTGCAGGGAGCGAGTAATCAATCGCACTTTTCAGTGAACCACAAACAGCCTCGCGTCCAGACTGTGGCTGGAAGAAACAAAGAAAGCCCTGATAGGAAACACAGTCCAAGCAAGTTTGTTGTGTGTTTTTTCTATGTGTGTGTGTGTGTGTGTGTGTGTGTGTGCGTGTGTGTTTGTGTGTGTTTGTGTTATCTTTCATGAATAAATCCACAGCAAAAAAAGAAGTGTTCGTCCCTATCAATGACAGTGACGTTACCGTGGCCTTTGCTGTCAAAAAAGATGAATAAATTACTTGTATTTCTGAGCAGAATCGTTAGTGTATGTTTTCATATCAAACATTTGTTCTTTGGTCATTGTCATCCTTCATGTTGTCCTTGCATATTTTCTTTTAAGTAACATAGTTTTTTTTTTTTGTTTTTATTTGTACGTATTTTCTTTTTTGTACAAGGTCATCACAAAAATCCATCTGCACGAAAATAAATAATGACTCCAGATGAAATACTTGTACTATTGCTCATAAACACAAGCATAGCCACTTCCATCCTAAGGCAACTGGGCATCGTGATCTCTCGAGCAGCTTGGGAAAAAAAGCCTTCAAACATGAACAACATCCTACATGTGTGCATCTGACTACGTGACAACAAACAGACGGGCCGAGCTCGTCCCCGTCGGCCGTCTCCTGTCCCCAGTGCGTTGGCACCGCGCTTCGATGCGCTCATCGCCAGGCTGACCACTCAGTCTCTCTGCTAGTCTCTGTCCTGTCAGTGCAGTGGGAGCCACTCTGCGGTCGGCCGCTGTCGTTAACTGCCCAGGGGGCCGCTGGTGAGGAAGTAAGTGGTCATCTCACCCTTCCCCTTCACCTTGACAACACCTCGACAGTCCAGCTGGTATCCGTTGTTGACCAGCACGTGGTACAAGTCTGTGGTCACCTAAGAGAGGACACAGACATTTGACACCCAAGATGTGAGACACTCAACCCAGCCCAGGAGAAACACTATCAGTCACTATCACGTCGAATAATCTCTCAAAAGCCCAATGATGGAGGGATAACGTAAAAGAAGGAATATTAGTTAATATTAATATTAGAGTAGAGTAGAGCATTTCATATAAAATTAAAGCGAAATAGATTTGCTGCTTTTCTCTGTTTCACATCACTGTAAACTTGTGATTTTGGACAATTAGTCCATCACATACTATCAGACACAAAGTGCTACTTCAACATTGCGCCTCAGACTGTGGGGAATTTGATGTATTACTATATTATATTTGATGATTACCCAATACTTCAAAAACTAATTAGAAAGAATTGATCAATTTATCAACTAGTCAATCTAAAATATCAGCAACAATTTTGAGAATTGATTAATTGTTACAGTTGTATAAACACGTAAAAACAACAATTATTCTCATGCTCCGGCGTCTCAGATGTGTTTTATATTATTTTAAATCTTTGGTTTTGGATTGTTGGTTAGACAGACGTCTGATGGCCATTTTCTCCATTTACATTTCATACACTACATATTAATCAATTCATTAAAAAAAATCTACGGAGTAACTGACAGTGGAAATAATTGTTGGTTGCGGCCTCACTGTTTTTCGATTTGCAGTAACTCATATTGTACAGCAGGTGGCAGCATCCGACTGTGATCTTTCAAGATGCCAATTTATGGATTTGATTAGGGGCCAGAAAATCTCACTGGAGCACTTAGCTAGACTGGTGTAACTAGCACATTTCAAAACACGTGTTAACATCTACTACACATCTATGAATACAATGCTGAATAAGACTGTGGGACTTTTGTCCTTTACCGACACTCGTTCTCTGAGGAACACTGTAGTTGAGATTTCCCTACTGAAGATGATAATCCTGTGGTAGTTGCATGGCCTCTGCATAGAATTCAAATTTAGCCGTCTGCCAGTCTCCAGAGGGACATTAGCGTACCATTTATGCTTGAGAACAGCACGTCCAGTGCTGACAGGCATTTTTGCTCAAGGGCCCTTCTGCAGACCAGATGTCTGAGCCTAAATCCTTAAGCTGAAGGACTGTGCACTGATGGTATCTGTAGAATTGGTATCAGCTACAGACAAATGACCTTGTGTCTTTCAGATACCACAAACAATACTTTCAACAAAATGTGCTTTGTCGTCATAAACATCTGCAGTGTGAACGTTTTTTTTTCATCATGCAGAAGATATAAAGATGCAGTGCAAGATTGTGGTCTGAATAGACACACATGGTGCATACACTTTCATGTCTGAATACTTACTGACAACGCCGCCATGACTAATTTCATAAGTAACTAGATGAGTATTCTACATTGGCTGAGTCACTCAACAATAACTACAACTGTGAAATGCTTCCCGTGCAGTACCTGGATGTAGTCTGGTACTCCTGTGCTGTCCATCCGGCTGGCAACATTGACCGTGTTCCCCCAGATATCATACTGGGGTTTCCTGGCTCCAATCACCCCTGCCACCACTGGCCCCATGTTTAGTCCTGAGAACAAATTACCTTGCTGTGTTACATCGTATCAGTTACACCATTCTGACTAAATTATAATGCTCTATCTAAGGAAGTAGATTACTGCAGCTCTCCTTTGACCGGGAAAAGGATTTTTTTTTTATGTTTATTTGTCAGATAATGTTTCAAGAGCAATGTGCGCCACCTTCCAGGCTTACCTATCTTCATCTGGAAGTTGTTGAAGGAGTGCTCGTTGATGTATTT